AGGCATCATCATCATCATTTGTTTTGGCATATCCTTTATCCAAAATATGTTTGTTGTAGTTTCGTGCATTATATGAGTTGCCATTGCCTCTTAACGGTTTAACGCTAATACGGTTGGCTTCATATACATTATTTCTTTTGCGTGGTTCATTTCCTCCCTTAGATCTGTGACGGTTTTGATTCTGAATATTGCTTGATCTTATATTTTGACTATTATTCGAACGGCAATGACAACAAGGACAACAAACTGGAACCAACTGGTTATTTGTATATGTTGCCACCTTATCTGAATTAGATGAACTAATATTTTGATATGGCATGGATGCCGTTTGCTGTGTCTTAAGGAAACCATCTATTTTTGGAGCGGTATATGCGGTTAAATTGTTGCTGGTTCTTTCAATATTTCTATCGGTACTATTTTGATTTATGGGTGTATTACTAACTGTAGATTCGTTGCTTTTGTTAGTTATCCTATTAGATGCTTCATTTTTTTGTTGACTTGCATTTGGTTCTATTAATTTGTTTTTAGCAAAGTTTGTGTTGCACATTTGTTTGTCGTTATTAAAATTGCAGTGGCAACAAATACTTCTTAAGTGAGTTGCTATATAATTGACCTCTTCATTTTCCAAACTTTCAACAAGTGAGCTTGTTGAACATTGGCTTTGACATTCTTGTTCACTTGATTGGCGGTTTTTTTTATTTTGCGCCTGATTTGAAGAATTACTATCACTTTTTGCTTCACTTATGTATTCTTCTTTCTTTTTTTCTTTAGATTTTCTTTTTGATCGTGTTGACGTTTCATCTATGTTTTCGTAATTAGTTTCACTAATATCATTTTCTCTTCTTTTGTCTTTAGTTTTTCTTCTAGATCGCGCTGAAGTTTCAGCTATGTTTTCATAATTAGTTTCACTTACGTCTTCATCTCTTCTCCTTTCTTTACCGTTTCTTCTGGTTCGCGTTGAAGCTTCAGGTATGTTTTCGTAAATAGTTTCACTTATATCTTCTTCTTTTCTCCTTTCTTTACCGTTTCTTCTGGATCGCATTGGAGCTTCAGCTATGTTTTCGTAAATAGTTTCACTTATGTCTTCGTCTTTTCTCCTTTCTTTACCGTTTCTTCTGGTTCGCGTTGGAGCTTCAGGTATGTTTTCATAGTTAATAACGATGTCATTATTATTCTCCGAATCTGTATAATCTTCAGACTGACTTTGAGCAATTTCTTTTTTATTTTTGGAGATAGATTTCAAATTTTCATTTGCTGAATTGCGTACTCTCTGACAACAACAGCAGCAATGCTCGCAGCAATTTTGCACAAGCTCGATTTTTTGGGATTGGTCTTTTCGGCTTTTAGATTCTCCAGCAATTTTCGACGTTAATTTCTTTTTATCATCAATGAATTTTTCTCCTTTTTTTAGTTTATGTTTCTGAGCTTCTATCTTTTTGGACACATTTTTATTTTCATTATTCTCATTCTTTTCATTACCAGCGAAACTGTTATCTCTAGATTTTGTCACTTTTTTCTTTGTAGATGAACTAGGTTCTTCATGTTTAGATGGTGTATTATTTTTTGCTGTTTTTTTTTCTTTTCGATCTTTTTGGGAAGAATTACGACGATTTACGGAATTACGAAGCGACTTTCTACTAGGTGCAGTCGATTCCGATTTTTTTCTATTTCTTTTTTCTTTAGAAATAGATTTAGTTTCAACTGATTTGGAAGGAGATTTAGTTGTAATTGGTTGGACAACATTGGAAGAATTTTTTTCCATATTTTGGAGTTTTTGCTCATGGCTAGTTGTTTTTGGTTCATTTCTTCCGGAACTGTTACAACAACAAAAATGATAACAACAGTAATTTTTCAATTCATTAGGATTCTTATTAAAGTCACTTTTGTTATTTACTTCTTGTAGATCTTCTTTTTGTATATGTTTGCTGTATGACAATTGATTCATAGGGGATTCAAGCAATTCCTCACTAGACGAATTTTTGCCTGAATTGTTAGAATCAACGCTAGCGTATTTTGAAAGTTCTTTATGATGATCAATTTTATTTTCAATCAAGTCGTAGTCGCCCTCAGCAATTGATTGGATATTTATTGCTTCAGCGTCAATTAATAGTTCCTCACATAAACCACCAGTACAACAACAGCCGCAGTTGGTGCAATATCCGTTACAAAAATTATTATAAGGTTGCACTGCTTGCAAAGGGTACTCAAATTCATACTTATTACAGTAACAGTTGTATTCCATACAGGGTGTTAGTATTCTGCACATATGTGGAACACACTTACAATCGCAAATACTACTTCGATTGAAATCGGAGCTACTTTCTCGTTTTCTATATTCGGACGCCGAAAGCCTTTGGTTATTTCTAGTTTCTTCATTTTTCGTTGAATTTCTTCCGTCGATTTGTTTTTGTTTTGTTTTCGTATTGTTTGCTTCAATATTTGCTGTGAGTGGAGGAGAATCACTGTCCTCTGTCTTTGATGGATGACTTTTCGCATTATTATATTTATTTGTTTCGTACGGATCAGTATCTCTTGAATATCTACTATACCTTTTCTGCGAATTTCTTTGTTTTCCATTTTTCCCGCTGGATCTACCATTTCTATTAAAATTTTGTGATTTTGTGAGTTCTTCACTATAATCATGTCCTTGATCAGACTTTCGATATTCATGGAAGTCGTTTTTATCATAACTTGACTGTCGACGCTGCGAATATCTAGCATCAGATTTACGATCACTGTTGCCATTTGGGGTGAAAACATTCTCTCTAACAGGTTCATTACGTGATGACCTAGACTGGGTATTTCTGGAATCACTATAGACGGCTTGAGCGTAAACAGGCGAATTTGTATCATTACTTGATTTGTCATATAATTGCCCCCTTTTTGCGTATAGCATGTTTCGCGGCTCATTTGTCGGTTGATCATTATAGGGTTTAGGTATTAAATTTTGATCCCATGTCTTATCATTATCTACTACGAAATATTTACTGTTTTTCTCATTTTCATTTTTAGCGTTCAGTAAACAGTTTCGAAGATCGCGTACCCTCTGTATTTCGCTAGATACTTCATTCGCTAATTTACTGAGTTGAATTTCCGCGTTCTCCAATTTATGTATATTCGCACTTAAGCTTGATGTACAACTTACGTTCGGTGGTACGCTCGTCCTTTCATGCAAGTTTGTATCTTTATTGCCACCGTTTTCGTTGTCCTTCGAATACCGGAATTTTTCAACAACTATAGTCTGCTTGTGTGTAATTAGCTGATCTTCATCCTGCTCAATAGAAAAATTTTCCTGCCGATCCAATATAATACTCTCACCTGAAAACAAAAATGACAATATTACTTCTATAGCAGCGTTTTCTATATCATACCGTTTTCTCCTAATTCGGGATTATTGTCCATTTTGCTGGTGTGGAAAATATATCTGCTTCTTTATTTATGTTCTTATTCCTTTGAGCTGTTGTTCTTATTAACGGAGAATTTTGGTCGAGCCAGATTTATGCATTTTCAATTTAAGCAGTTACGAAACCGAAATAATTATATATTTCTGAAGTTTTTCATTTTCAATCCAAAAAATAAAAATAAAAGATATTTCGATAAAGTTTTTCATATTCAAAGAATAATATATACTGTCAAAAATGCATGGCGAGTAGTTAAATAAAATCAAATATTTTTATTATTTCATTAATAATTATTTGTTGCCTTTTTATTCCACATATATGCAGTGACGTATTTTCGTTAAGTATAGTCCATTTTTCACAGGTCCGTCTGATTACAATGCATTTCTTTTACCAAATATCTCAATAAAATATATTAATGCAGTTTACTAAAAGTTCGCCATTTTAAAATGAACTCTGATGTATTAAACGATGGGGATATTAATATATAATGATCACACAAATATGATAAATATATATAATGAAATATATAGTGACTTTAGATAAATTTTAACTCAGTATTCAATTCCGTAAATGTACAGTTTCTATATGCAAATTGAAAGTATTTTTATGGTCCAGTAAAATCAGCATCAATTCTCGGAAGAGAAGGTCTTGAAAGAGATCTTTGTTTTATTTTATACACGTATGTTGACTGAAAAGCTGTATATGAGAGTCAAGATATTCGACTTCAAAGGTGGCGAATATCGGTTTTTTGTTTTTTTGGGGCATATATTTCTCTACAAAATTGAAATTGAAAAATTTTTATACAATTAACCGTTTTCGATGTAGAGCGAAAAGAGGAGTTCCGATTACCAAATGTATTATCATACGAATTGAAATAAGGTAGACAGTACACAGAACGATTACTAATGTCAGTTATTTACTTAAATATTGTAATTGTGAAAAAGACTATCTTTTTTACTGAATAATTTATACTACATGATAGGTATGTATTTAATACTCATCAATCAAAGACCCGTTTATTAACTTTGCCTTGATTTGTTTTATTTAAAAAACATGCTAATATTTTCCTTTTTCATCAACAGTTTCTTGTAAATGATTTACAATTAAATCATGACCTCTTCGATCGTCAGCGTCTTTACTTTTTAGATCACTCAACTTGACGCAAATGAACCCACAAAAAAATGATTTTCGTATGGTTTGAACTAAAATATCCAGATTCGCATATATAAAATTTTTTGTGGCTTTCTCGCCAACAAACAGAAGCTTCCAGCTTGTTCACTTTAATCCCGAGATGTGCCGCTTTTTCACCTGGCTATAGCCTTCGGCAAAAATGAATTAAATGAAATTTTATTGCACTTTCCAGTGTAGTTAGTTTGTATAAGAACTATGTGAGTTTGTTTGAGTAAGAGATGTTTGTATAATTATGGTAGTCTATCCTACATTATTATTTTCTTGGTTCCTTTAAAAGTTGCTCTGAGAAAAATACAAGAATCGTTTTTGGGTTAATTTTGTACAAATATTTTATTTTAAAATTCTATAACACATATTTTCACTTAGCTTTAGATATTATTGTCAATAATCTTGAGAATATATTAAGGATATTTGTATTTCCAATTATTTCATATAGGATTGTCACAGTAATGTTTGCTTAACATGGTTTTTATCTAATGAAAAATCGCGTTCCGCAAAAATGCCAAAAAAAGGTGGAAAGAAACAAAAAAAGGGCAAAAAAATTAAAGATATAGACTGGGCTGCAGATGAAAACTTCAGCAAAACTCGTTCCGTGATATATATAGAGCACACAACAGAATGCCCAATATTTCAGAGAAAAGCAGAAGAGTTTCGAGAATTTTTGGAAGCTGAAGTGCCGGAACGCGAATTCGTTCTTATACGAAATGGCAATGGTAAGAAAGTGCCAAGGTTAGGAGCATTTGAAATAAGTTTTTCACAAAACGCTCGCACTTCGCAGTATGACATTTGGTCTGGAATAGATAAAGGTCCACCAAGAAGAGATAAGTTCCCAGAAAGCTTTGAACTAGTTATGCCAGAGGTGCGGAAGATATTAAAAAAATTCTACGCTGAAGCAAAACAGGAAGAAGAAGAGGATTAGCAAAAATTATAAATCTGAAAACCATTTAAGTAAACAAATTTAAAGACGATCTTTCAATAAAAATGTCTCAAACATTAAACACTTATTTGCTTTAAATTATTTTTATTTAAAAACCAAAACAAAATATGGATTTGTATTTAAAGAATTGCGCCTTATTTCTTTATTTTGGCTTCTACAAACGGTCTAAACTTTTGCAGAAAACCCATCAATGCATGAGCTGAACTGTCAGCCAGGGCGCACATTGTAGCTGCTCTCATGTTACTAGCTAGCTTCAACATTTTGTCAATATCATCAGGTTTTGCTTTTCCCTTTAAAATACTTTGCATAGTCTGATGCAGATAGCGCAAACCTTCTTGACATGGAGTGCATTGTGTGCAACTTTCATTTTTGTAGAAATGTACAAATCGGGCCAATCCTTCGACAATGTCGGCTGACTTGTCAAAAACAATAATTCCACCTGTACCCAAAGCGGATTGTGATTTTGCTAGACTGTCATAATCCATTAAAACATTTTCACAAGCGTCTTTAGTTAAAATTGCTGTTGAAGAGCCGCCGGGAATAATTGCAAGTAGGTTGTCCCATCCACCTCGTACACCTCCGGCATGTCTTTCAATCATTTCCTTTAGTGGCACGGACATTTCCTCCTCCACAGTACAAGGATTATTGACGTGACCCGAAATGCAAAAAAGTTTTGTACCAGTATTGAAGGGCCTACCCAAGCCTGCGAACCAGCGACCACCTCGTCTAATTATAGTTGGGATGATAGCAACAGTTTCGTTGTTAAGGAGAAGTGTTGGATATCCATAAACGCCTTTTTCAAAATTAAAAATGGCCTTTGGATGGGGTTTGCCGCCTTGCCCTTCTAAGCAATCAATTAATGCGGTTTCTTCACCTCGTATATAATTACCAGCGCAACGATGTACATGAACATTGAAGTCATAACCTGCACCACAAGCATTTTTTCCTATAAGTTTATTTTCATAAGCTTCTGCTATGGCGTAAGATAAATTACAAGCTTCATTGTAGAAGTTTCCACGTATGAATACAAAAGCTGTGCGCGCACCTACTACTCGACCCAAAATGAGACATCCTTCTATAACCTTGTGTGGTTCATGGCGTAGTATCTCACGGTCTTTGCATGTTCCAGGCTCACCTTCATCCACATTGACAATTAAAAACTTTGGTATTGACTCATCAGTAGCTAAACGCATGAAAGATAATTTAACAGCAGTTGGAAAGCCAGCACCACCACGTCCACGGAGATGCGCCGCCTTAAGCTCGTTAATTACCCATTCAGGATCTTTCTGCAATATTTCTTTTGTCTTGAACCAATCCCCGCGTTTTAAGGCACCTCTTAATCGCCAATCATGCTGTCCATACAAATTTTGAAATATACGATTCTCATCACATAGAGGACCGCGTCCTTCAGCAGCCTTTTTTTCTCCTGAAGTGTAGAAGTTACGTTGAAAAAACGATAAGTTTTTTAGAGTGTTAATCGTAAATATATTTTTTACAGCCCTCATTACAGTAACTCTGAAATGTAATGTACCTTCTGTTTTTTTTTATTTTCAGAAAATATTTCAAATGAAAAAGTTTGAATTTGTGAAATGAAAACAAACTCTATGCATTTATATAATTAAAATGAAAAAATTTGACAAAGTAATAAGTATACGTATGTTCATTTAATTTTATATATATTTTATATTCTATTACTATTATAGATAAAATATTAAGACGAAATGTAGAATAAATTCTAACGTCGAAGAATACCCTTTAGGCATGTGGATTTCTATAAAATACGGATCCGGTATTTTTTATATAAAATCATGTTATATGCATTTCTTTAAGAAAATCTTGTGGAACGATAGGGATATTGTCTTGTAGTACATATACCTGATTATGCACATATTCAACCAGATTTAACTTAAGTTAAACTGTAACATATACGATATTCGAATACATCATGTGATGTTTGAACAAAGTATATGCTACTTTATTTGTGTCACTGAATGGAAATTGAACAAGGCATTAGGTGGAGACAGTATGCCTAAGGGATTTCGCCTAATCGCTTCAGAAGAATTCATAGATTTTTAAGCTCTGGTATTAATAAATACTTATGTACAATGATTACTTACGTTCTAGCATACTTTTCCCAATTTACAAATATTTTTACCAAATGAATATCAATTTGGCGAAATTGTTAATTTGAACTTAAGGAGGGAAAAGGGTTTAAGAAATTGTTGATGTTTCTTGAAAACATCTGTAAAGGCATAAACATAGTGGTGTGGACGGAGAAAAATGAACGCAGTATTTTGATAAGGATAAGGATGTTTATTATCAGTTATTCTATTTGCATTATTACATATTTTTACATATTTTAATTGATTCACACGAACTTATTAAAAAGGGTTAAGTATCGCAATAACATATATTTGTTTATTAGTATATGAGAATAACATCGTAATATTATCAGATAACATCCATTGATTTTAAAAAATGTTTGATCGTTTTTAAACATATTGTCTAAGATGAAAATTAATTTAGACATATATATAGTTACAATTTTCAAAACAGGAGGGCGTTTCCTACGAACTGAAAAGTGCGCATTTAAAAATCTAATAGAGATAACAATCACAACAAGCTTAATATTAACCCCGAAGTTTTCTCTTGGAAAACACTTTCTCAAAAGAAACGGCTAAGCAAAGGTATATATAAACTCCACGTGACAATATTAGCTATTTAAGGCAGTTTGCAGAGCCATACAGATGGTCGAGCCGGAGATTTAATCGCATTGAAGGATATACTTCCGCATTCTAAGTATAGTTTTTAAGAAAAACCTTTAAACTTCCAATAAGATTGTCTGCATGTGCATTAGCCTTGGAAACAAATCTAGACGATAATCAGATTAAATAATTTGATCTCTATTTAGAATATATATGTATATGAAACTGCTTCAGTCTAGTAAATGCAGACCATCAAGAAAACTGAGTTGGTTCATTAATCTGGTGAAGTATCTTAAAATGCAGAGTAAAGCTCAGTAACATGGAATAAATGAATTGCCAAAATTAATAGACAGTTAAATTACTCAAATCATGATGTACATACGCAAGAAAAAGATCCACGGAAGTGACGAAAGGATATGTGTATTAAGGTAACTTAATAGCCATAAACGTAATTTATTTATGTTACTTGTACAATCCACCAAACAGGTACATACCATAACATATATGATATACATGAGTGTGTAATCTGGAGAAGTCTAAAATGTATTGAATTGGGGAAATGTTTAACACTGCCATATTAGAAGATCAGGAAGATCAGGTTTTGAAAGTGATAATGCTTTATTATATACAAAGGAAACATTAAATAAATTGAAATAGAATTATTACTCAGGCTGATAAGTCGAAGGTTATGGCAGTATATATTTGTTAAAACAGTGTTTTTTAACAACATAATTTTAACCTATTATTTAATTAATTGATTTTTTTTCTACAAGTAAATAATATACGATATTCGTCCTTTGATTAAAAATTTCTAAAATGTTCTAAAATATCTATTAACTATATTATAGAGTTCCATTAAGAAATACTAATGAATATGAGACTATCTACCCATGGAAGTGAGAGTATTTCAATTATTTCCTACTGGTTAAACTATTTCCTGAAGAATTTTATAAGGCGGAGTGTGGCTGTAAACTGCAATTATACCTAATTTTCGACAAAAATTTATTGCCTTGTATTTTTGTCAGCACTTGAGCCAAAAGAAACCAAACAACCGCTGCAGCGACAACAATAAATTACCAATAACAAAGGCAAAGATAATATTATTTGTATTATCTGGCATTCAGCACTTAAGTGCCACCACCACCTTTGCGTTCGGATTATTGGTAATGTGATTCAGCAATATTTTCGTCCACACCTCATCTGCGAACGCACGATATAGTGTATAGACGATAAGTACCATTCTACACTATTCAATGCACGGGCACTAATGTGCAGACCTAATAGCGCGTTGCACGGCGGTAATAGGTAAGTTCTTCATTATTACTAATTTGAAAAAATTGTTTTTCATGTCTTTTTTGTTTTCCAGATGGAATTTTAAATTAAATTTGGATTAATGATTTGTTGCGAGAATGTTTGGTTAAAAAAATAAATCAATTTTCTGAGAGCTAAGTATTTCGTTCCATTGTGTTCTTGTTTCTTCTTCGTCACTTCCATGATCGTATTTGCTATTGTTTTGTTTTCAGTTTTTTGTGTGTTATTCCATTCTTAAGTGTTTGGTTTAACACGAATTTTCAACAAAGGATTTCAGGCCGAAAAAGATTCGATCAATGGGAATCATATTTAAGTTTAGGGCTTATAGCCACATTATTGGTAAATACGTTTAAGTACTTATAATTCGAATTACTTTAGTCAGGCAATTCATTGCGGTTCCTCACCTAACTATCTACCTGTACGGATCATTTTTGTGTTTCACTGGCGTAGTCCAACTATTTGCAGACAACACATATAAAATATAATCTCGTCGACTCTTGTATAAATATTACACCTCCTTCGAGACCAAAAAAAAAAAACAGTTTGCATTTGTAATCCCAAGGATTTGCAGATCGTAGGATTGCAACACTTAAAATTTTTATTGTGTACTCAAGTTTCAAGAAAATGAATGCATCAATTCAATGATAAAAGGTGACAAATGGAATAAAAAAGAGGAAGGGAGAGGAAAAGGTAATGAATTATTATTTTTGCAACACAGTTCAAATGAATTAGATGCATTTAGGTACATTGAATGAAATTATAGAAAGGAGACTTTTGTATAGGAGGGCAATGGTTTTCAGTGGCAAATCCGACCGCAAAGCATACGCCAACCGAGTAAAAGAACTTTGTCAACTACAAAACGACTAGGTAAAGCGCATTTTAAAGTTAATTACCTGAGAGTACTTGTTTCAGTAAGACAATCAATAATTTCCCTATTATCTAAAGACTTACTTTCAATAATAATTTTCAAAAATAATGTTGAATCCTTTTCATGAATATCGTTAATAGAT